AAAAACAAAAAAAATAAAAAGGAAGACAAAAAAAAAAAAAAGAAACAAAAGTAAAAAACAGAAAGAAAAAAAAAACAAAAAGATAGAAGAAAAAAAAGAAAAAGAAAAAAAAAAAAGAAAAAAAAACCAGATAAACAAAAGAAAAAAAAAAACAAAAAAAAAAGAAAAAAAAATATGAAAAAAAAACCAGATAAACAAAAGAAAAACAAAACCAGAAACAAAAGAAAAAAAAAAACAGAAGAAAAAGAAGAATACAAAAAAAAACTAAAGATTAAAAGAACAGACAAATAAACGAAAGAAAATAAAAGAGCGAAATATACGATCCTGAAGTTGAGCGAAAGAAAAAAAAAAACAACAGTTAATTTAACTAAAAAAAGTAAAAGCATATACCCGATCCTGAAGTTGAGCAAAAGAAAAAAACAAGTTAATTTAATTAAAAAAAAATCAAACTAAAAAAAAAAAAAGCATAAAAAAAAGAAAGAAGTTAAAGAAAAAAAAAAAAAAGCAATAATTTAAAAAAAAAAAAAAAAAATCAAACTAAAAAAATTAAAAACATATACCCGATCCTGAAGTTGAGTGAAAGAAAAAAAAGCAACAAGTTAATTTAATTAAAAAAAATCAAACTAAAAAAATTAAAAATATATACTGATCCTGAAGTTGAGCAAAAGAAAAAAAAACAACAGTTAATTTAATAAAAAAAAAAACCAAAAGTATATACTCAATTCTGAAATTGAGCAAAAAAAAAAAAAAATCAGTTAATTTAATAAAAAAAAAAAAATCAAACTAAAAAAATTAAAAGCACACACCTGATCCTGAAGTTGAGTGAAAAAAAAAAAAGTAACAAGTAAAAAAAAAGTAACAAGTTAATTTAATAAAAAAAAAAAATCAAACTAAAAAAATAAAAGTATATAACTGATCCTGAAGTTAGGCGAAAGAAAAAAAAAGCAACAAATTAATTTAATTTGTGATTCACCAGTGAACTAGTGAAAAACCATAGTAAACTTTGGAATATATTTACTATATAAATTTTGTCTTTTTTTGAAATCTGGAGTTTCTTAAAGAAAAAGTTTTTTCTTTACTAAGTAAGTCTCTTTTCAATGCCTATGTAAAGTTGTAGAGGAGTGTCTTGCAATCAGAATGATGATTAAAATGTTAAAATTGATCTAGTGGATCGCGAGATATAAGCATTTTAGTCTTTGCGACTATATGTTTTCTCCTTTATTTATATAAAGAAGAAAACATATAGTTATAAAGACTAAAATGTTTATATCTTGTGATCCACTAGACTGATTTTAATGTTTTAATTGTTATTCTGATCGCAAGACACTCCTCTACAACTTTACTTAGACGTTGAAAAAGATTTACTTAGTAAAGAAAAAAATGTTTCTTTGGGAAACTCCAGATTCCAAAGACAATAGTAAATTTCTCCACTTTTTACTATATTTTGTCACTGGTTTATAGGTGAACTATGAATTAATAAAAAAAAAAAATTAAACTAAAAAAAATTAAAAGCATATATATATCGATCCTGAAGTTGAGCAAAAAAACAAAGCAACAAGTTAATTTAATTAAAAAAAAAAAGATCAAACTAAAAAAATTAAAAGCATATACCGATCCTGAATTTGAGCAAAAGAAAAAAAACAAGTTAATTTAATAAAAAAAAAACAATCAAACTAAAAAAATTAAAAATATATGCATATAACTGATCCTGAAGTTAAGTGAAAGAAAAAAAAAGCAACAAGTTAATTTAATAAAAAAAAGAAAAATCAAACTAAAAAAATTAAATGCGTATATCTGATCCTGAAATTGAATAAAAAAAAATGGCTAAACAACAAAATCACAAAAATAAAATGAACACAAAAAAACAAAAAAAAATAAAAATGAAAGTTAAAAAAAGGCAAAACTACAAAAGCACAAAAACGAAACATATTTTTGTCTAAAAAAAATAATAAAAAACAAAAAAAGATCAAAAAGATCAAAATAAAAAAAAGATCAAAATGAAAGTACTATTAGCTGCTAAATGTGTAATCTATTTTTGTTATATGAATATTCAAATAAAGGTACACTGCATTATATCTAGAAAATGCACAAACTATGTTTTTGATAATTTTACTATAAATATGTCAAAAACGTAGTTTCAGTCATCAAACAGCGTAGAAGTAAGAGTCTGTCGCTACGCTTCAGACAATTATATCTAGTTTGGTAATAAGCCATTTACCCTTTTGCCAGAGCTTAAAAAATATAAGAAAGAAGAAAAGCTATTTATAATTCATGTTGCAAACCAATTTGCTAATGATATTATAGGATATTGAAAATATTGTAGTACTTTAGCAAAAGAGTTAGACAAGGTAGTATGTTGTATTTTTGGAATTTGTATCAATTCTGCCTTTGTTGAGAGACTTTTTTTTTGTATAGGTTGATTGTATAGTAAAACATGATCATGTTTAAAGGTTTGTTTAAATTTTTTTTTAATATAATATCCTCTCTAAATATATGCTAATCCAAATATATTTATAATCTCTATAAATATACTTTTTCTTATTGCATATTGTTAAAATTTAATCTCAAAAATATGTATTTATAGAAGTTTCACTAAATTTATTAATTTTTTAGTCTTAAAAAGTACTTTAGATGAGTTAACTTCATGCTACTATAAATCGTAATGATTGTTTGAAAGAGATTGAAGTATCAATACAAAAGTATAAGCAAATCAATATTGTATCACCATTACCAACACTTGATGAAAGTACTGATTTATATTATATGAAAGTGATTGTATATCTGTTTCTAATGATGATTCAGATGACGAAGTAGAAAAAACAGATAAAGAATATAAACCTGTAAATAGTAGGATAACTAGAATATACTAATATATCAATAGTTAAATATAATATCTGAAGAAGAACTTGATAGCGAAGATAATCAATTAAATGAAATTGATGTAAATATGAATGATAGTATTACAGAACAAATTGAAAATACTAACTATCTGACTATTAATAATAAGGCTAAATAAAGACTAAAAACATTGTTTAAAGATAATATTCCAACTCTACATTTATTTTTGATTTATCTAATTTATAATTTTACAATGCTTTTTTTTTTGAATTAACAATATTGTCAAAATTTTATAATATAAATATTTCAACTATGTATTATTAAAATATCAATTATAAATTATGTGTATTTTTTAAATATCAATTTGCTAGTGATACTATTATATGATTAGTAATAAATAATATCCAAATTAGCTTCAATAGTAACATGATTGTATCTTAATATATCGGCTTTACCGCTAACTAATAATTAGATATAACAGTATATAGTATTAACAAGCACTAACAATATGATTAATTGAAATCAAAAAATATATATTAAGGTGGTATTCTATTTGTTTTTTTTCATAGTTCTTGGTTTTGTTTAAGGTTACATTTTTTATAATTTGGTCTCATTTCGCTCAGCTAGGTTTTAAACTTTATATTTTTTACTATATTTTATAAATTATTAATTGCTAACTTAATGCTTTAATCAAGATTCACAATAATGTAGAGACAATTTAAACTTAGATACTAAAACTTATCATATTAGCTGATTTTTGAAATTTATAAGTAGAATATATTTTTAAAAACTTCAAAGCTAAATAACTTCTAATCTACTGGTCCATTTTAAATAATTTTACTACCAATATGTTCATCTCTTTGAGACGATTTTAATGAGCCCAAAATTATTAAAATTCAATCACAGGATCATGAGATAATGCACTGTCAAATAGTAACGCATCTAGAAAGTGGGGTTCATTGGTTAGATCTATGTTTAACCAATAAAACCCACCCTCTAGGTATGTCACTATTTGACAATGTATTATTTTATGATCCTGTAATTGGATTTTAATGATTTTGGGCTTGTTGGAATCATCTCAAAAAGACGAACATTTTGGTAGTAAAATCATTTAAAACAGACTAGTAGATCAGAAGTTATTTAGCTTTGAAGTTTTTAAAAAATACATTCTACTTATAAATTTCAAAAATCGGCCGATATATATATACAGAAGGCTTTATTATTCAGTTTTAGCTAACTAATAATTAAAAGATCAAGTGAACTAGTAAACCAATATTTTATTTGATTAATATTTAATCTTCATAAAAAATTCTCTCTCTTTAATAAAATAGAACACAAATATATAAAGCTAATTTTGAAAATAACTAATGCAGTAACTTTCAGCCTCAATTCAAGCTCAGTTTTATATTTATTATGTTTTGCCTCACTTTGCTTGGCAATATTTTAAATTTTATTACTATTTCGCTATATTTTATCTATTTAATGAGTCAATAATTAATTATACTGAAGATGTTTTTAAACTTTACTATCTATTTACAGCTGTTTTTATTATTTTTGGGACATCTGATAAAAAATTAACCAAATTATTGTTTTGCCAATTTGATAAGTTATTGGTTTCAGCATAATCAGTAGAATGTTTATCATATATAACAAGTACACGATAAACATAAAGCTTCTGATAAGGCTTAGCTAGAATGATAATACTAATACAAAATAACATATAAAAACTATTTATTAAATATATAATTTCAATACCAACATAGCGATAAAATATACAATAATATATTACAAGGTTAATACTAGAGTACGGAATGGGCCAGGTCAGGCCGGGCTTTACTGAGCCCGAAACAAAACCAAAAAAATATTTTTGAGCCCGAGCCTGGCCCAAAAAAAATAAAAGCCTGATGGTGTGAGTCCGGGCTAGGCTTATTTAAAATCAGGCCCGGCCTGGCCTAGCCCGATCTGTTAACCTACTGATTTCTGAAACATCTGATAAAAATCTGCCGAATGATTTTTCAGCCGTTCTGGTTAAAGTTATTATTTTAGCATAATAGATTCAACAAAATTACAAATTATACGTACGTACGTACGTACATAACTTCTACATTAATTAATGCAGTGGCACATGATTATTGACCTGCATTAAAAAATTTTGCCAGAATTATTAGACTTTGTGTATCAGCTCTATAAAAGTTCTGGACAATGTTATTTACATAACAAAAATTACATATCAGAAAATTTACATACAAATTTCTACCCTATATATCTCTAAATCTTATATATAAAAGACATATGCATTATATATGATACTTTTCTACGATAATTTTAACATTATAAATGTTGACACGTTTAATATTACTAAATTTTTGTTTAATACTTGCCCAACATGTTTATTGCTGCAGTGTATTTAGTCGGTATGAAACCATATATTTCAAATTACAATGTAATCTATATGTATATAACTTTTAATTTATCGTTATGTTACAATGTAATCTATATGTATATAACGTAATATAAATTGTAATTATCATTATGTATTGATCATTCCGAAATCACTTAACCGGATTAGCCAAAAAATCATTTGGCGATTTTTATCAAGTATTTCAGAATTTATGAAAACAGCTGTATCATAATTTCTTGAACACTTGAAAAATAATTGGCCGATTTGGTTAAGTTTGTAACTTAGGCATAATAGATCCAATAAATTACAAAATTGTATGTATGCGTACATAACTTTTGAGCACTAGCACATGATTATTACATACTCATTATAAGGTTTTAGCGGTATTACTATTCTTTGTATGCCAGTTTTATCAAAGTTTAGCCAACGTTATTCAAATATCAAAAATTGCATACCAGCAACTTACATGTAAAATTTGTAAATTATAATAATTTTCACTCTATATATAAGGTTGTGTTAGGCATATGTATTTAGTTTATCGAGCCTACCCGGGCTTTTTCAACAAGCCCAAGCCTGACCCAGTATTTTTCAGGCCCAGATTGAGCCCGGCCCGAATAATAAACGGGCTCAAAAATATAAGCTCGAACTAGGCCTAAGCTTGGCCTGGCCCGCAAATTTCTGGGCTTAGCCCAGTCTGTTCTGCACCCTAGTTAATATTAGCCATGTCATGTTGATAGGTTTAATACCAGTTATAAACATACTTCACCAGTTATATACTATATTTACAAGTATTAAATATGATTTTTTGCCAGAAAAAAAATCAAAAAAAATCAAATCCTTTCATCACAAACTTTCTTTTTGGTCTTTGATGATCAATGATTATCAAATCATCTACTTGGCAAAAAATATAATACAAAAAAACAAAAAATCGAAAAATTTGACAAATCTTATTTAAAATACAAAAAAATTATTTTGATGATCACACATCAAAGAATAAATAGCCATATAAAAAAAACTGAAAAGATCAAATCATTGCAAGTATATACATGACCACAATAATACAACAAAATTGAGTAAAGTAAAAATTAAATGCCACAATTAATATATATAATTTTTGTATACAACAAGCATTCAAAAGGAGATCCATATTATTTGTTATAAAGAGTGCTTTATTCTACAAAATATAGTAATATATAAATCTATTTAAATAAACTGTATAGATAAATAATATTTAATTCGTGGTCTGCTAGTGAACTAGTAAAAAACCATAGTAAACTTTGAGAATATGTTTACTATATAAATTTGGCCTTTTTTAAAATCTGGAGTTTCAAGAAGTTTATTTAGTAAAGAAAACCCCTTTTTTTTAGGAAACTCCAGATTTCAAAGACAATAGTAAATTTCTCTACTTTTTACTATATTTTGTCACTGGTTCATAGACGAACTACGAATTAAATTATATAATTTATTCAATATACTGTACTTGTCTATTGGGTCTATTGGGTTAATAATTTTCTAATAGAACCAATAGGTTTGGTCAATAGACCCAAGATCTATTGACACCAATAGACAAATATGCCAATTCTGAGATAACCATATTGTAACCAAATAAATTTAATTATGAAATAATAATAAATAAAAATAAAAAAAGAAGCTTTGTTTTTTCCAAAAAAAAAAAATATTGGTAAAATTTAAATAAATACTATCTTTTTTTTTTTATCCCTTAAACTGTATTCTAGACAAATTTGTCTAGAAAATTTAATTGTATTTAGTATTTTTTAAATAAAATAATAATTTATT